TCATTACATAATCTGCATTTCATATTCACATTTTGATGCAAAATCACACATTGACGGTATCGAGTTGGAAGTGACTGGTCCTGAGCAGCAAACAGACAGCCTTCTGTTTCACTTTTCAGGCCAGACGACTTCCTCCAAGCGAAGGACTCTGCAGGATTGCTGATCATCTCAACACACTGCACATAAACTCGATGCAGTGGTCGTTCCGAAAGCCTCTCCTTGAAAAACTGAGTCTGGGCCGACTTGATATGGCACTTCACTTGGTTGACGCTCATTTCTATACCGTCCAGCAGTACAGAACAATCAACAATATCAACAACGACATTGAGATTGTGTCCCACATCCTTGGCTCGTTTTAGAAAACTGTGGAATGCCTTCTTTTCATCATGAGTCTTGACATGCTTCACAAGAGGATCATCAGACAAATAAATGTGTGCAAAAGTGCACAAAACAATTCTATCATGAAGAGTCCCAACGTTAATCAAACCTCGCCCTCACATGATGATTGATTAATATAAGCGATTGAGGGAAGAGCGAGGGAGGTGAAATCTATTGTCTGACATGATTCTTCGTGTGAGGGTGTCAATACCCTGAATTTCTTGTTTCGTCCAGTCAACAACACCAAAAGAATATGAAAGGACGGGTACAGCATAAGTATTTGTGGTTTTAACTTTATTGCGAGCGTTCAGCTCTGAACTCCAGATTAAGTCTACTTAAGTCTATTATCATTATTATTATTATTATTATTATTATTATTAACTGAGAAGTATAGTTTGTTTTGCTTCTCAATTTACAATTTACATTCTCGTCATATCAGTCACTCTCCCCTACTTGTCTTGACTCCTCTTGTTCTATTTAACAATAAGAACGAATACCTTCACGTTGTCGAGATTTCACAGCTCCTTATTGTTCAATAAAGCATGCATTATAATGACGTATTTCAATCACCAGACTATCATAGGCAGGTAAATGACTCCTATGTGAAGCCTGTCTCAACGGATGAGGACTAGAGACGTTGCTTGTCGAGTCCATGGTGTCACGTCCATTGACCAACTACGCTCCCTCTACAACCAGTCAGCACTTGCCCTGAGGCGCTAACACCTGTCTACTTTGTCATCGTCTATTGTCACGTGACTGTCATCAATTGTCATTTTTCGTATTGTTGACATACCGCATGTGTTTTAAATTGAAATATAGTCAAATATAGAGGTCTTTTCAATATTACATACACACGGGTGTCTTGTAAAAAGTAGTTTAAAGGTAAATGTATTTATATTTGTTTTCATACTGTAGAATGTTTGATGAGTTTTGTATGTAAGTCAAGTATAAATGACACGTAAGTAAGAGGTCCCATGGTGTAATGGTTAGCACTCTGGACTTTGAATCCAGCGATCCGAGTTCAAATCTCGGTGGGACCTTATTTTAATATGTTATGTAATATTTTCGATTTGTGGATGTTCATTGCGTACGTTTAAACGTCACAGAGTAATATAAGCATTGTTTCAATTTCTACATAATTAAGGCTGTTCCAAAGTTATAACATATTTGGCAGCATATTGTCAATATTCTGAAAGATGTAAAGACATTTCTAACATTCCTGGGATAGCATGATGTCTATGGACGATTAAGACAGCGAAGGAGTGAAAAGACATTTCAACATGAATTCTAACCCATCACCTTGTAACAAGTAAGGCATATGGCCTAGCTTGGTAGAAGTTGCTTCATGCTTTCAGCAATGTGAGTATGGTTTCAATTTTTCACGCCACTTTTGGCAATATTCCATCAATTTAACGACGGGCGACACCAGAAATGGACTTGACACACTGTATCCACGTGGAGAATCGAACTGGCCCTTCGACGTGACAAGCGAACGTTTTTACCACGGAGCTAACCTATCGCCCCTTAACAAAATGAACCAGAACATTCATATTTCCTGTGTTTCGCTCAAGACTCTTTCTTCGCTCCCTCAAATATTACTTACTAATACCGCCAGCCGTTCATGCTAAGGGGAAGGTGACACTGGATAACACAAAGGTGCTAAATTTTAATAAGTTTTATTGTGTCATAATTGCGTTTTATTTTAAGAATGTATGTTACTGATGACATGACTTTATCAGGCACTACTGGGTGGTGGGGTAGCCCCGTGGTAAAAGCATCGCTCGTCCCTCCACATGGGTACAACTGCTCTAGTCACCACAGAGGCGGTCGATGTGAATATGAACATAGCTATTCATTTACATTAGCGCCGCGTTCTCACAACCCTGCCTGCAACGGCACGTCTGCACCGAGTATACGAAAGGCCCGCTCTTGTCTGACAGCTCCACACACGTGTCAATAGGGTTCTAAAGGCCCGTGTGCTCCCATCTATACACGTGGTAATCTGCCACGATCCAATTACATCCTACAAATTGAAGAACCTTCCTCACCAACAAAGGAATGGTATAGAGGAATGGTATAGAGGAATAATGTGGTTGTATTGAGACGAGGGCTTCTATTGTTAGGGTGTGTATGATACTCAGGGTCTAGTAGATGACAAATGGATGGAATTGGATGTTGGATGGGGTCAGTGTGGTAATGGATGGCCATAGCTACTTAGTACTGTATCATGCTAACACAAGGCAGATTCAATTAGTGTTGTTCATTATAACACATTTGTATCTCTGGACAACGAAACGCCACCACGATCGCCACAAGTCTCGTGCTATGGCAACATATACATGCGGCTATAAATCGACTGGTATTGAAGTAGATGGCGAAGTAATCAGGCAGAGGCTGCATTCCTTAGTTGTCTGATAGTAAATCCTACTTAGCATGGACTCATTAAATCCTGAATCCTATCTGCAAATGGAGGCTGTACATGAATGCTGGATGGAATACATAAATGATCATCAATCTTATATTTGGCCTCGATCTTCAGCACATGAATAAATGGAAAGTAAATGCTTCTTGTCCTGAGACGCAAACACATCTTCTGACATGCAATGATAATGCATAGAGTCTGGAAAAACACACCCGACTCCGACCTCCAAGTTCCCGAAAATATGATCATACCCTAACAGTGATAGCATCTCCGGTGTATCATGTGTCAAAGTTCAGAGTCCATGGCAATGTGAATGAGTGAGTTGGGTTTAAAGCGGCTTTTAACAGTATTCCAGTTATATCACGACGTGTAAGCTTAATGTGGGAGGAAAGCCCGAAGTGATGCAGGTCTCAGACGTTTACCACTTAGGTGAAACCCACGAGCACGGGTATGGTGCTGACAAACATTGAAACATAATCGGGGCGAACCGGGATTCGAACCCACAATCATAGGTTTCTGGCGTGCCCAAGGGACGCAACTCTGCACAGCAAATCGCGGCGCCTTAGACGACTGGGCCACCCGTGCCCCAACGTAGACACTGTGGTGTGTGTTTATGCAACTATTCACCTTGAAATGTGTAAAGTATCTACTACAACTAAAATGCCATCATTTAGTAAGTGATATTACTAAATACTGAAATACTAATGTGTAATACTTGACACTACTAAACATTGGATCCGTGAAGATCCGGGGTAGAATAGGTCTTCAGCAACCCCTGCTTGCCGTAAATGGCGACTATGGTTGTTGTAAGAGGCGACTAACGGGATCGGGTGGTCAGGTTCGCTGACTTGGTTGATGCATGTCATCGTATCCCAGTTGCGTGGATCGATGCTCATGATGGCAATCATGGATTGTCTGGTCCAGACTCGATTATTTACAGACCGCCGCATATAGCTGTAATATTGCTGAGTGCGGCGTTAAACAACAAACAAACAAACTTAACCCTGAAATACTAATATGCAATACTTATCACAACTAAACACTGAAATATTAATATATATTACTTTTCACTACAAAATATGCAACAATTCACCTTGAAATGTGTAAAGTAGCTACTAAAACTAAAATACCAACATTTAGTTCTTGATATTACTAAATACTCAAATACTAATATGTGATACTTGACACTACCTCAGTGCTCGGAATAACGAGACAATGCTGCCTTTGACACGTGGTGAAGCAAACTTGCTTCCAACAGAAAGCCTCGCCAGAAACAGTTACCCCAAAGCAAAGGCATTGAATTGATTCAACACAGTAACAATATCATGGCTTCCTACCTCGACGAGTTATTTAAAAAAAACAGAGAAACGGGTTGTTCTAATCTTCTTGGGCTACAGGGCACAATCTGCTTAATGCTGTCGTTCCCAATACTTCATGGATCTATTCACTACAGCAACCATTGTGAACAAGAACTGGAATCGAAGAAGGTTTTGATTTCTTCGCGAAGCCAACAAAGCCTACTTGAGGTAATGAATAGGCATGTTGGACAATGAATAGGCATGTTGGACAAACTGCACTGCCGAGCTTGTATTCATTCTGTAATGCGCCGGTCGACCCGAGGACAATGTTCGGGGACAACGAAGGGGGACAGAGGACCAGAAAGACCTGTTATTGAATGGAGGTTGAAGAACTACCAGCCGGTTAATTCCATCAAGGAAAATCTGAGCTTTTGGGAGATCAATGAACACACCTTCCGAAGTCAAAAGAAAACAAGACGGGCCAGATGCAGTCGCTTTGTGTTGTTCAAGTCAATACATAGTCTACCATAGCCTTGATCACGACCCGGATCAATGTACTAGTCACGTGACATACCCTCGAAGCTAACACGTTGCCTCGTGCTCATGACTTCCGGTTCAAATGTTAGCTTCCCGTCAGACATCTTCAAAACCTCCGGGGAGCGATATTTTTTTTCCGAATGACTTCTGGATGCAACCCGGCACCTAAAGATTTTCCTCGGTCTTCATTGTTGCGGAATTAACATCATATTTGATAAATCGAGTAAGGGTTGGTGCTCCTCTGACTGTCAACTTTTGTGTGATGGAGTACAGTGATCGGCGATGTTTAACGACAATGAATGGATAAAATGAGAAAGTGTAAAATTTACTCAAACACCATGTGTCATAAATCAGAATGTACTCACCAGATACCTAAAGGATCCTTTTAAATCTAAAAAGGCGTCGGTTCGAACGTCCTGATACGCATTCCTGTATTTCGAAAAAGGTCCATCCACTATCCGAAGGCTGCCTTTTAACTTATCAGATCTGTATATCACTGCAAAATACACAAAACATCTCAGGTATTACAGCAGTATATCAGTAATAGATAGAAAAGAAGATGTTTTGTTAAAAAATGTCCATGTTTAAGTTTAGTCATTGTAACTGGTACCATAAGTGAAGTTGAGTAAGAGTCCCTGCTCATTGACGTCAATCATTAACTGCAAGATTGGCATACATCTTATATATGAATTAGACGAGAGAGTGGCTTTTGATGACTTATAATCTGTTCAACTCCCTGGGACTACCTTTCAAGTAGGACCAGGCTCAAATCAGTTGGCAGTCCTAGCAAGTTCAAGGTCACCACTTTACCTGGTTCACACTTTATGACGCATGTCAACCTTACTGCCAATGTTTACCTAACTTTTACAGAGAAACACGTCTCATATTACAACGCGTAGAACTAGTCTGTTCTGGATAGTGACACAGACCGTATGGCATAGTCCCTCTACTAAAGTATATTATATATACTCAGTGCGATAAATATGTACATATGAGTCATAGTAAATGCAATTATGATAGGACTTCGTTTTAAAGTAATATAGAAACATAAATGTAATTTAAAAGTATAAATAAGAAACGAATTTACTGTGGTGGATGCAAATGAACTTAGTAAAGCACACATTCGTTCGTTCGTCCGTTCGTTCGTTCGTTCGTCCGTCCGTCCGTCCGTTCATTTTGTTTTGTTCTGTTAGTGAACACATGTCTTCGAATACAACACATAGCAAAACTGCGAAAACCTTTATATAACATGGACAATAATTCTTACCTTATACAATGCCTTGTATAATACATAAATTATATTTTAAGGCTGAAATGTTTGCACATGACAGTACTACGTCGGCTTGGAACTTACCAGGAGAGGAAGTGGAGCGAATTGGCTGTGACGTCTTATCCTCCTCTGAAAATAAAGACAAAATACCGTTAAGAGTGAACACCTAGTCAGGTAATATCTTTCTGCAACCACATATACCATGTGAATTATTACTTTGACTCCATGTATCTTCCCTGCATGTTGTTGGGATAGGATGCTTATGCATTTAGTTATATTTCATTTAAAGCCTACATGCGAATGCGTGCATGTGTTTTGTGCCTGCGTGTGTGCGTGCATGTTTTTTTAGCTTGTGTGCGTGTGTGCATGTCTTTTGAGTTTGTGTATGAGTGTGTGCATCTGTTTTGAGTTTGCTTGTGTGTGTTTTGAGCTTGTGTGTTACTGCGTGCATGTGTTTTGAGCTTGTGTGTTCATGTGTTGTGCGTTTGTGTGTGAGTGTGTGCATGTGCATTTTGCCTGTGTGTGTGAGTGCGTGCATGTGTTTTGAGCTTGTGTGTTCATGTGTTGTGCGTTTGTGTTTGAGTGTGTGCATGTGCATTTTGCCTGTGTGTGTGAGTGCGTGCATGTGTTTTGAGCTTGTGTGTTCATGTATTGTGCGTTTGTGTGTGAGTGTGTGTATGTGAATTGAGCCTGTGTGTGAGTGCGTGCACGTGTTTTGAGCTTGTGTGCTCGTGTTGTGCGTTTGTGTGTGAGTGCGTGCATGTGTTTCGAGCTTGTGTGGGAGAGCGTGCATGTTTTTTTAGCTTGTGTGTGCGTGTGATTTGAGCTTGTGTGTGAGTGCGTGCATGTGTTTTAAACCTGTGTGTGTGTGAGTGTGTGCATGTGTTTTAAGCCTGTGTGTGTGAGTGTGTGCATGTGTTTTAAGCCTGTGTGTGTGAGTGTGTGCATGTGTTTTAAGCCTGTGTGTGAGTGTGTGCATGTGTGTTAAGCCTGTGTGTGTGAGTGTGTGTATGTGAATTGAGCCTGTGTGTGAGTGCGTACATGTGTTTTAAGCCTGTGTGTGAGTGTGTGCATGTGTTTTAAACCTATGTGTGTGTGAGTGTGTGCATGTGTTTTAAGCCTGTGTGTGTGAGTGCGTGCATGTGTTTTAAGCCTGTGTGTGAGTGTGTGCATGTGTGTTAAGCCTGTGTGTGAGTGTGTGTATGTGAATTGAGCCTGTGCGTGAGTGCGTACATGTGTTTTAAGCCTGTGTGTGTGAGTGTGTGCATGTGTTTTAAGCCTGTGTGTGTGTGTGCATGTGTTTTAAGCCTGTGTGTGAGTGTGTGCATGTGTGTTAAGCCTGTGTGTGTGAGTGTGTGTATGTGAATTGAGCCTGTGTGTGAGTGCGTACATGTGTTTTAAGCCTGTGTGTGAGTGTGTGCATGTGTTTTAAACCTATGTGTGTGTGAGTGTGTGCATGTGTTTTAGCCTGTGTGTGTGAGTGCGTGCATGTGTTTTAAACCTATGTGTGTGAGTGTGTGCATGTGTTTTAAGCCTGTGTGTGTGAGTGCGTGCATGCGTTTTAAACCTATGTGTGTGTGAGTGTGTGCATGTACGTTTTCAGCCTGCGTGTTGTCATTTTCATTTTGAAATAATCTCATATGAAATGCCACAGATGTCTTTGAGATGTTCCTCTCGGGTGAGAGACGCTCCTGTCACCTGTTAGACAGAACCTGATTATGAAAACTACGTCCACACCAGCATAACCCACAGGACCTAGTGTTCAATCAGTTCTTAGAGCAACGAAAACAACTTCATTAACAGTGGGTCTATATTGGTGGAATAAGTCCCATTCCTAACTTGCAGTCTATTTCGGGGATCTCATGAGAAGTAATTTAGCTGGATCGAGCAGGCGGCCTCCTGTAATAATCCTCATTGACTTTCTTGAACTTGTGCACATGATATTAGAAAGGTACTGTCAAAATGTGCGGTATTCAGACGTCTATGACTACACCTAAATATACCTTGATTACTCCTCGGCAGGGGTCGATATAAATATACCCTTTGCAGGCACAACTAAAATATACATCTTATTAAGGAACTACTTGCATAGCCATTATAAAAAAATAATCCATAGGTTTAACAAAAATAGCGTTTCCTGTAATGTTATAAAACAGTTCTTCCTATACAAATGAAAAACACATCACTTTTGAGTGTTCGTAAAATACGTTTGGTTTATCTGCAGTATCACGGTCGGTGGCTAAAGTGAGTGAGTATTGTTAAACGCCGCATCAGTAAAGCAGCTATTCGCGGTCGGTGTTCTATTTCTGTAGCGAGATATACGGAGTATAGATTTGCTATGACGACATTGAATATGAAAGCAAGGCTGTGTCACTTAAGTCAGGTGGTCTCTCACCAATTTACGTCGAATCGAACGATTCGCGAACACCTGGTGTTATCACTGAGATTCAGGTATCCATTCATAGAATTTTCGCCGCTATTTTGCCTTTTACGCCCAATGGAATCTATTTCGGCTGATAATCGAGACTGGTTAGTCTCTGGCGTTGACGTTTAATATGTAGTAAACAACAGGATGATTGAGCTGTGAAGCTTTTGGATATGATACGTATTTGTACTTTATCCCTGAGAGCGGAAGGTCCGGGGTTCGATCCCCGACCGCGTCATACCAAAAGACGTTTAAAGATGGTACTTGTTGTTACCCTTTCTGGCGCTCGACATTAAGGTGCTAAAACAAGGACTGGTCGGCTCGGAGTCAGTATACTGTGTCTGTGTGGGGTATTCATGTTAAACTGCGGCATGGTATCTCAGTGTGCTAGCACTATAAATCGGCATCAGTCCGGACTAGTACAAGCAGCCACACACACACACACACACACACACACACACACACACACACACACACACACACACACACACACACACACACACGTCGCTATATAAGTGCAATAATCTTGGACGCGACGTAAAACCCAATTTCACCTCAACTCACATTCGTACTTTATATATATTGACCATAAAATCATATTTATTATAACATTTAATCAACAAATATTTAGAAATATTTCATAATAGGTTGATTTTAAGCTGGTTTTCATTCTAATGGATGGCGTTTTTTTTCGATTTTCACCAAGCTAACCTCGTCCTTCAGGTCGGTACTCATCACAGCACTTGTATAATCAGAAATGTGAAGCTACTAAATTATCAGTCCATTTCAAGAATGAGAATAAAACGGCCTACTCAACAACAAGCGATGCATATCCATCCCTTAACGATACAGTCTTTGCCTGTCTATAATCAGGACGGCTTGCGTCAAATCGCCATCTCTCTCACCGCCAATGAGCATCCCTGCCCCTCCTCTCTGTCACCTGGTGGTCAACTCGAGTCCTCAATTACTGTCATCACTTCCCGAATGATTCGCACACAAGTGCTTGTCCATTACAACGACCTCTATCGATTGCACAAAAGACGAGCGCTTTCTTCTAATTACCCCAGCGTTAAGCTTCAACACTTTTTCTCTATCTGTCTGTAATTGATGGAGACAGAGTCGATCTCAATACAAGTACTCGCTGGCAAAGGTGTGTTACTTCACAGTCCTGGCGGCAGACACCGTGAAACATGGGACGTTCCGACATGCTTGTATTTACATCAAGGTAGACTGGTGATGAAGACACACACATGTATACGTATTCAGGTAGACAGGTGATGTCACCATACAGGTGCATACATGCGTGTAGACAGGTGAAATAGACATACAGGTACATATATTCAGGTAGAAAGGTGAAATAGACAAACAGGTGCATACATTCAGGTAGACAGGTGAGATAGACATATAGGTACATACAGTCAGGTAGAAAGGTGAAATAGACAAACAGGTACATATATTCAGGTAGAAAGGTGAAATAGACATGCAGTTACATACAGTCAGGTAGAAATGCGAAATAGACATGCAGGTGCATACATTCAGGTAGAAAGGTGAAATAGACATACGGGTACATACAGTCAGGTAGACAGGTGAAAGAGACATACAGGTACATACAGTCAGGTAGATAGGTGAAATAGACATATAGGTACATACAGTCAGGTAGACATGTGAGATAAACATACAGGTGCAAACATTCAGGTAGACAGGTGAGATAGACGTACAGGTGCATACATTCAGGTAGACAGGTGAAATAGACATATAGGTACATACAGTCAGGCAGACAGGTGAGATAGACATACAGGTGCATACATTCAAATAGACAGGTGAGATGGACGTACAGGTACACACATTCAGGTGGACAGTTGAAATAGACATATGGGTACATACAGTCAGTCAGACAGGTGACATAGACATACAGGTGCATACATTCAAATAGACAGGTGAGATGGACGTACAGGTAAAAGAGCCGTCAAATCAAGAGGGAGAAACAAGTAGTAGGCATGCTCAAAACGATTGAATACATTTTTTTTTTTAAACACAGGCAGAAATTCAACTGCATTCTACCACAAAATTATTTCAATTTCAAGGTGGCACTTCTAGTAATTGTTGATTTGTTGATCACATGCTGCAGACTCATAGGCTTTATTAGATCACAGAGGTACCCTCGGGCGGCCCTGTTTACGCATTGATAGGTTATGGGTTAAATTCAACATGCTCTAGGACACGCAACCAGCGCTAGATCTTAGTTCCTTGATCAATGTCAAGAGGTTGATCATAGCAAACGGGATATCACGGTGAAGAGTATAATCTTACACTCCTAATTTGTTCAGATGTTAACAGCTATACTTATTTGTCAATCTCAATAACAACCCATCCACGCCAGAAGCCGTGCCTTGTGGACGTAAGGCATGGCAGCATTGTCCCTCGAACTATTCCGTGGACGGTGCTGGGGCGAGAAAAGCGCGCTGTCACCAGGCGAGATATAGATTCAACGTGTCGACACCCTCCATAAATATAGCTGGAATCGATGCAATCAACATAAATCAGATGCGTTTAGTATTTTTTCACATTTAATCGCTACCTGTCTTTTCACAGCGGTAATAAACTATACATGATTAAGCTCAAATGTGACTTTCCATCGTCAGATAAATCTGTTTAGAAGTGACTCGCTATCCTCCCCGTTGTAAATAACCGTCCTCCATCCTCC